AAAAAAAAATTAGTTTTTAATCGTTGCCCAGCACAAATAATAATATAGAAAAGCACACATTTCACTCACTGCTAAAGTAATTGTTGGCAGATCTCTGATGTAAAATTAAAACCAACCATATTAAAAAGACGAATATCATGCCATAGTAACATTTAATAACAATACCTGAAATACTAAATATATATATAATCAGATTATGTATTGATATTCATTTTGATCAACAAATGTAACTTCATGGATTTTGATAGGATTTATATGTACAACATTTAATAATTATTTTACGAATCATTGTGTAGCATAGTGAATTCCATTTGACTGTAGGCTATTGTGAGATAATATTTCGTTCATGTTCATTTTGTTACAAATACTTAAAGACACAGAGAATGAACATTTAATGCCAAATATACTTTTTTATTTCAAAATAATCCTTAGAATCCTTCAACATGATTGTTGGACACAGTACTTGTACTTCCACCGTCGATCCCTGAAAGAAGTCAAACAAGCATGACATTAGTGAGCAACAGAGCACACGGTTTGACAGTGACATGTTAGACTTGAAATAGATTCACTTATTAAATATTAGAAAAAAACATAAAGAGTAAGTAAAGAAATTATACCCACTCTTGAAAATTTTGATGGTAGCTATCAGCGCCCACCAGAAAACTGTGAGGAGGCACAGTCCAGTAGATGTACTCATCAAAGTAGTTCACATATGAAGTCCACAGACAGTTTCCAGAAATACACTTACTTTCACAGCAGTAAAACCTCCACCTGTGTAAAAACATGGTATTCACTTAGATTAGATGAACGCAGGTGAATACAATTTAAACATGAGAATCTGTCAATCATTAGAGCTCACATTCTGTCCTCATAGTAGTTGTCGTGGTGGCTGCTCATTCCTGCAAGTGCGTACTGTGGTTTACACTCAAAAGTGAAAGTTTGGTCAAAGTTGTTGATGTAAGGTGACCAGTAACAGTCTACAGCCTTGCTGGTGGGTTTACAGTCAAAGTCCCAACGTCGGTCCTCATAGAAATTGTGGTGTTCACTTTGATTGAATTAAACAA